ATCTTTTTGACCTTTTCAATAGATTGTTCAAAATCTGAGGAAAAGTAGGATATGAGAAATGGCTTAAATTCCTACTTTTTCAGTGACTGCGTTGTTCAGCTTGCAGGGCTGGTGTTTTTCATAGGGTAAAGTAGAACTTGACTTCTTCTTTTTAGCAGAAAAGCTTAATGTCTTTGCTAGCTTTATCTGTAGGTACACTCCGCTGATACTGGTATCTGTAGATGTAGCTGTACTGAGATAGTGGAGTGGAATTAGCTTAATATGGTATTTAGATCTCTCCTGCACAGTAAGGCCATCGTGGCTGCCTCAGTGTTCACACTGACTTCTAGTTAGTAGTAAGGGCAGAATGGGCAGAACGGCACTGTGTTCAGCAAACGCGGTGCCTTCGCTCCCTGGAAGAAAGATACAAATTTGCGTTGTAGAATGTTGTAATCTGACCATTGTGTTAAATACTTTTTCTTGTGTTAATGAAAAGTAATGGACAGAGCTCCCCAAGTCCTATCTGATTTCAGAAAACCTTACTTTGAAGCACGAAGCACTTTCATTCTCTTAGGGGCCCAACGTTGCAATCGGAGTTCTCTGTGTCTCTTAAGATGCACCTCAGAGGGAAGAAAACAAGTATTAATATTTAGTGTAATGTAATTATATTTATTTAGAAAATCCCAAACTTACTCAAAACCTGCACTGTACTGCAGCTATTTTTATTGCAGGGCATCTAGACTTGTGGATGAAATACTTGGATGAGTTAATTGCATCTTTAGCTAATAAATTAATATTTACTTTTGTATCTCAAATATATGTGCTTATTTGTTTTCTGGTGTGTTTTTCCACTCCTTCCCTCTTCCTCCCCTCCCCCCCGCTAAAAAAAAAAAAAAAATGCTTCGAGCATAGCAAATTAAGAGAAAAATAATGGAGCTGTGGCATGAAAAAAGGTATAGACTTATTCTTTTGGCTCTTTATATTTGCGTACCATAACTGTATGAATTGAATAGGCATTGAATTTTTTAGTTTTTCTTTTGTTTTTAGAACATACAATTGTGAAATAAAAATGTGGACCCAGTTAATGAAGAGCTGTCATCTTCATCCCCCTAAAACAACCACCCTGGCTGAGAGGTGAATGGCTCGATTCGTTTCTATGGGCCATTAACTTCCACCCTTCCAGATGACAATGTTAACATTCACAATGTAAACTATTTCTCTGGTGATCACTTTAGCAGAAACGCACAATAAATGTGCTTATCGTGTGACCTAATACTGTGCCCGATAGCCCTCTGGGTCTCTTAAAACTCAACGTCCCTACTGGCCAAACATAAAGTTCTGCTTTCTCAACTTAAGCAGAAGGATTGTCTCCTGACAATAAAGAAATCTGTGGCAATTATTAACTGAAAATGTGGACAGCATGAAATAAATCCCATTTTAGAGTGAATAGTAAGTCTGTGTGAATTTATACCTTTCTAAAAATATTTGTTTGGTTTATCAAAAACTGCTGGGTGTTTGAGGTGTGTATGCTAAGATACTGTCTCAAAACTCCTGTCCCATTATAGTTAAGCAGTTTAGAATTCAAGGATCTGATTGCAGAGTTCAAAGACTATTAGAGCAAGTGGGGCTTGATCAGGCCTTGGGCCTTTTTTCAGTGTTTTAATTAATCAACAAGAAAATAAATGTTTAATGTAAATTAACACAATCTCAAGTTACCAGAATCCCAGATTTGTTCATAATCAGGTAAGTGGGCTCCAAAAGCAGCAGGATGTTGTCTCTGTTACACCATGGTCTTTGTAACACTATGTTCTGTGTCTGTGTAACACTGTGGTCTTCGTAACGCCATGTTTTGTGTCTGTGTAACGCCGTGGTCTCTGTGGCGCGCCATGTTCTCTGTCTGTGTAACGCTGTGGTCTCTGTGGCGCCATGTTCTCTGTCTGTGTAACGCTGTGGTCTTCGTAACGCCATGTTCTCTGTCTGTGTAACGCCGTGGTCTCTGTGGCGCCATGTTCTCTGTCTGTGTAACGCTGTGGTCTTCGTAACGCCATGTTCTCTGTCTGTGTAACGCCGTGGTCTCTGTGGCGCCATGTTCTCTGTCTGTGTAATGCCGTGGTCTTAGGTGATGGCCTGAGATGGGAAGACTTGAGGGTTTGAGGTGGTTTTTCCGATGTGCTCTGCTGGAGAAATGAATCATCCTTTGAGGCAAACAGTGTTTGGTAACTGAAACTTTCATGATTTGCAATTGGTCCTTGATTCCATTTGGAGCGAGGTGTGGTGTTTGTTCCTGTTGGCTTACCTTGGCTCTCCTAACCCCAGGTCATTTTGCTGGAATCTACAGTGGAAAATAGTTTTCCTAATCCTGGAGTGTACAGTAGTTTGTAAGATTTCCAGAAACAAATTTATTTTTTGTGGGTCACTTTATTGTCTTTGCCAATTATTTTTTTTTTAGTCAGTATTGCTATACCTTTGTCCTTAATGTGTTCAGATATACACTTTGCTTTACCCTAGTTGGTCTTTATTGTCTACTCCCCCTGCTCATGATATATGAAAATTTGTGCTATTTTTGCCATAGACTTTCTATTGTTTCCTTTACTTGGGGAGGTAAGAGGTGTTTTGTTTTGCCCAGGTCATCTCTTTGTTGTAGTAGCATTTGTGGTGGTGGGGGTGTTTTTTGTTTGTTTGTTTTTTCAGTCAGAGAAGTTTTTAGATTCAAACTTGAGGTGCTCTCTGGCATGCTTCCAGTGTAGCGCATTTTTCATATAAATCAGCAATAAACAGATTGCATGAGTAGTTGATGTAAAATTGTTTTTTATTGAAGTGGCAGGGAAGAGAAAGAAAAAAAGAAAGGCATGGATGGTGGCAGCATTTGGCTGCAAATGTGGGGAAAAAAAAAAGCAAATATTTGAATGAAATACCAGAAGATGTTCTGTCTGAAGTACCTTGTGCTGGAGCACTACGACCATTTCAGCTCTGGGCCTTATCTGCTGTTTTGGAGACAGACTGCCACAAAATAACTCTTTAGATGCCACCATGTTCCATACAGTTTGGGCCTTGGTGTAGGAACCCATGATATCATATAAAATTCCCTTCCATGACAGGAGTACACACAGTTGGCTGAAGCCAGCCGACACACAGCTGCAAAATGGAAATCGTCGTGTGCTAATTTGAACTGAGCCCAACACTAATAATTAGCACCAGCAGACAGGCCATTAGCTCAGTCTTAGTGCCATGACAGAACAGACATCTGTAAAAAGTTCTTCTACCTAAACTACTCTCTCTCTAATGTGTTTTGGGGATGAGGAGGGGGGTGTGTTTTGCTGTTTGCGGTTTTGGTTTGTGTCAGTTCAAATGCAACTCAGAAAATACTCTGAATTATATTTTGTGAAAATATATGGATGAGCAGGAGATGATGCTTTTATGAGGAAGGTAAAATAGTCTAAGAGGAAAACTAAGGATTATTGTGGCATCCAAGATTCCAGAGTTGTTATTAGGGCAAAAATAGATTAACTGGGGGAGATTACTTTGAATGATTTCTACATATGTAAATGGGTGTATAATTATCTATTACTGTAGAATATTAGCGCATATTTACTGTATAATAAGCAATTCAACTTCATAAACAATTGAAGATTACCCCAAATTTACATGCAATGTGAAGAAAAGTCCTTTATCCTCTGAAACTGTAGCATTTGGCAGATTCAGGAATAAATAATCTTTTGTGGCAAGGGTATGCCTTATCAAACATATGCAGATCAGTGCTAATTAATGCTAATTAAGGTTTCCTGTCTATCTAGTTGGAAAAACGTCCAAATGTTATGAAATCCAGTTAGTATGCCTATTACCCTAATTGTTTTATATGGGATGGTTCTTAATTAAAATATGTAAATTGACCTTAATTGCTATATACTAATGAAGGTTCATGTTATCTCACTAAAAATGACAAGATGGTGAGGAGGGGTACTTAAACAAATAATTCCAATACATTTGTAACTAAATGACCTTTACTCAAAATTATTTTTAATTGGAAATTGGCAAAAGAAACATTTTACCATGTATGTTTCCCTTTAATCTTAAATGATGTCAGAATTTACAGTTCTTTGTTAATATAGATATGGTGACATTGTAGCTTAATTAAGACTACTAAACGAGTCAACATTTTGTGTGTTTACTGTCTGCTTCAAAATTGTTTGCTAACCTTATAATGACCTTAGGAAATGTGTGTTGTGTTTTACAACATTCATCGGAGTTTTAACTATTTTGGAAGTATTTTGGAACTATTTTAACTATTTTTTGGTTTTTTTGCTTTAATGTTGTAATTACATTTTTGAAGTTGGGTACACTGGTATGCTTTTGCTGGCGGCCCTGTGATTCTGAGTTTGTGCTGGGCAGCACCTCTTTGCACTGGGGACATTTGTGCAGGACAGACTTTTGTCACTTGTGCAGTTCACACGTACGCCGCTACACAACTGAGGCCTACGCAGAGTTCTCCACAAGGCCTTGTATGCCTTTTCTGTCCAACCCAGATGCATTATTTGAACGATGTTTTGTGTGCTAGTTGCCTTGTAGGCATCATATATTGGCATTTTCTTGGTAGCTGAAATAGCTTGCTATACTGCTTCACACCAAAAACAAACATTTTTCTTCTCTGATTTAGAAGCTGTAATTAGACACTCTGCTAGGCTAGAGCACTGGCCTCGCCTACCGTGTTGTTATTTTTGCCTGTTTGCAAGGCACAATAGTGCTGAAAACATAAGGTTTGTAAAACCTTCCACTTGGGCACGTTGTACGCAACCAGAGAAGGGAAGCCTTCCTACCTGCTGTGCAATGCTCCATATGAGTAGCACTGCTCAGCATGTGGAAGCACTTGGGTTTCCTCTCTTCCATACTGATCAGCCACTATAATCTCGGTTTTTACTCAAAACAATAGTACATTTTAAAAGCTCTGATACCGCTACATTTACGTTACATTCATAGACATCACCAATTACCAAATCAATCTGAAAGGTTTCATTGTTTTTCAGGATATTGTGACCAATGTTTCTCCGAGGATTGTGCGTGGAATTACTTCAGGTCCGATATACGGCCCAGGCCAAGGCTCATTTCTGAACATTGAACTGATCAGCGAGAAAACAGCAGCTTACTGGTGTAAAAGTATTGCTGAATTAAAAGCTGACTTTCCAAACCACGTAAGTGCTACTCGATCCTAAAGATGCAGTATTTAGATTTAAAATCACCCGTTTAATAATTACAAAATAGAATCATAGTTTATTAACTGGTATAAGAGTATGTTGTTGCATATCTGAAGCACCCATCTTTATGACAGCAAATTCTGTGATATGACTGCTACACAGAAACCATGCAAATAGAACCATCATTATTTCTTTGGTTGGGCTCATCTTTACATTCAAATACACAATATTAAAGAAGAGGCATCCCAGAAGGGATGCTTATAAGTTTTTATGTGAATAATTTTGTTTTTGAGATTGCATTTAAAGATGTAAATTACAATATTAATATCTGTTTTGAATTGAAATTAACTATAAAAGGAATTTTTGTGCTTTTGATTTTTAATCCAAATGCAAATTATTCTGATTTTTTAAAATGATTGTTTGCTTCAAGAGTGAAGAAATGGTGCTAACTTAAATTCACTGCAAGGATATGGTTTTGTTAGAGCCTTCTTGGCTGTGGGGAGTATCTGCCTGGAAGGTAATAATGAGAGCTGGGAGCAAAGATGCCAGCTAGCTGGCATAAGTGGATTTCAGCCACTGGTCTACTGATTAAGAAGATCTAGATAGAGAGTAAAAATCTCTGCTGAATCATTATCTCAAATAGTTAGAGCCAGAAATCCCAAAGTCTAGATATCTTCTGTCTTAAAGCTTTACTTCCCTGGTTCAGCTCAGAGGAAAATAAGTGAACTTTCCTGAATATTTTATGTTATAAATAGATTTTTTCCTCATACTTGGAGTTTAAATGTTTACATCTGCAAGTATAAAAATTATAAAACTTGTTTAAACAAGTTGTACTGGCACAAAAAGTTAAATGTATATTTAATATCCCACTTCACCATTCATGGATTGTGTGTTTCTTTTGAGGCTTCAGTCACATTATTACCTGTGATTGAGCTTCATATCAGGAGAAAGTGCGAACCTAACACAAAACAAAAGCAAACAAACAAAAACAACCTAAAGCAAAAATATTTCTTGAGAAATGTCTGGGTAGACTTAATTAAGAACCAAGGAAAGACACTTTCCTCTGAAAAGAAGGCAAAGCACAGAAGAGGACACAGAAGAGATTACAATACAGAAACTTACCTTGCTGTGGTAAATGCTAAAAATAAATCAACATTGATACGTGGACTTTTGCTCTGTAGTACAAGTAGTTTAAGGTAAGTTTTTTTTTTTAATAGCCAGAAAGAATATTAGCAAAATAGCTAGTTTACCAGAATTTTAGTCCCACAGCAGCATCCTATCACTTGCCATTAGGAAGAAGTGAGCTATAAAGCAGAAGGAACTGCAGAATTCCCACAGTGTCGCCCAGGATTTAAACTAATCTTGCAAGGGCTTGTGCAAAGGAGGGCCAGCTGGCGTAGCTCGGTGGATAATGTCACATAGCCATGACACCTTGGCTGTAGATCAGGAACCAGCATCTCCCTGGTGCAGGCGTGCTGGCTTCATCCCTCCAGTGTGTGGGGAAGGGCAGAGGGCAGCCTGATGCTCTGGCTCTCTGGAAGCAGTTTGGGCTGCGGCTGACAAGAGGTGTTCCACTCAAGGGAACCTCAAGGATTATCTTAACTTTGTGATGAGGAAAAGGAAGACTTGCCCTTTCTGAGGTCTATTTGGGAATTTTGGGAATTGGCCATGTGGTAGATTTCAAAGACTAAAGCAGGCTTTGCCACAAGTCTTAATTTCTTATTTTGTTTTTTTAAAACCAAGCAGATACCTGTCTGTATGCGAGCCAGTGCAATTTTTGGCCAAAACTCTCTATTTCTTATTTTATGTTGTATTTGAGAAATCAGTTTATTTTGTAAATATGAATTTGACTAAGAACTCATGACAGATTATGATCAGAAATGAAAATGGGGGAGATTTCACTCATACCTTAGCTAACTGGTACTAACAAAATGCAAAATTTCTCTTAACATAAGAGAGAAAAAAATTGAAAAGAAAATTATAAAAGTTTGCAAGAGAATTCACTGCTGAAGTTTCCTTTTCACATATTTGACACTAGTGGCAATGTGGCCGCTATCTGAACTGAATACTTGTCCTGGCACTGCATCTTTGTGTGTCAGTAGAACAGGGAGGTTTGTGCCCAGCGTAGCCAATGATCGTGACCCTGTTTTTGGAGACCGCAAAGAGATAGAATTTATTGGTGTTAGCATTTGTTTCATCAGAAAAAAAAAAAACATGCAAACTGCTTCTGTTTCTCATCAAAACCTTTTGCTAAGCCTACGGAGGAAAGGCTTTGAAGTGGAACTTAGTGAAGCAAAATACGTTGCAGGGAAAATGTCAATCACTACAGGGCTGACAGGAGCCCATCACAAACAAGCAGATGATATATGGAATGTAAGGAACAACAGTTTTTGGAAAAAGATACCAAAGTGAGTATTTTTCAGTATTGCTGCAGTTCAAACACTGAAGCCTTACAAGTATCTTTTTGACCTCCTTACTGAGCATAAGCGAGTGCCGCTAAGGAGCTCACACAGGATACCAGATTGTCAGCTGTGGTGCTGATTCTGGAATTCAGATACCAGTCATGATGTGTTGAACTGAGAAGCCTTTTTCTCTAGAATCATTAAGCACTCTTGGACTCCAAAGCTAAGCGGAAAAATCTCTCCTTGCTAATGTTTGTGGTGCTGCATGTGGCCTGCAGGATGCTGCTGACAGTGCTGGTGACAGTTGCTCAGCACAGAGCAGGTTTTTAAGGCTGAAAGTGTTAAAGATGTATTTTTGTTCCACATTTTGTTCCGAGTGTCCCAGGAACACCTGTCAGGAGTAGCCGTGCTAGGGGGAGCGGGAGGACAGCAGCTCGCTGGATCCCAGGCTGGTAACTGATTTTGTAGCACTTTTAAAAAAAAAAAAAAAAAAAAACTCCTAGAATGGTGTCAGAAGCTTCTTTTATTATTATTATTATTATGCAGTTTCTTCTACTGTAGAGGTGTGAAATAGGGCAGCCAGTGCTTTTTTTTTTTTTTTTTTTTTTTTTCCTTCTCCTCTCCTTTTTTTCTTAATGTAGCCTAGCAAACCCAACTTTGTTTTAATTCTATTCTGTGAGAAGGAGGGGAAGTGAGAGGGTTAAAGAGCAAGACAAACACAGCTGAGCAGACATATGGGAGGCCTTGCTCCTGTCAAGAACCTTTTGGGTAGAAAAATGCAGTGTTCACAAAGATTTCTGAAGTTGCAAGTTGGATAGAAAGAGACTTGCTATAGGAATAGTGGATGGTCTATCTGGAGAGGTTGGAGTAGTTTGCTGAAGTGATCCCTGAAGTGGTGTCCTACATATTCCGCTTACGTGTAATGCCAACTCAGTTTTTAATAGCTGGTTCTGGCTGTAGACTGGAACATTTGTATGCTTACGTAAACTTTTCCCTTCTAATTCTATATTAACTATATACCTTCTAATATGTTTTCCAGAAGAAATTAACCAGTATATCTGAAGACAAAATAATTTCAGTCATTGCTATAAGTTACATTTACGATTTAAAAGGCATTAGCTGTAAATATTGGAGGGGATATAGAGGAGTTTTATTTACTGTGAGGAGCAAGACGAACTTGACTTTTGCTGATGTGTTTAGGAATACTTTGTGCATTTTTGCAGCCATAATTAGAGCTTTTACTTTTGACAGGTGTTCAAAGGCCTATGGGATCTTGTGTGTAGTATACATAGTACTTTCATTTGGAGTTACAGGTCACATGTGGCTTGAACAGGGTATGAAAGGTATTAGTTCATTTTAACATTTAGGTTTCAAATTTGGAGTATTTGGGAATTTAGAGTAACATTTGGAGTGCATTTAGTTAGACAAAATGAGAGGCATAACCTTCAGCTTCTTTGCAGAAGTCATGTTCAGAGTAAATGAAGAGCAAATTGTCAGCCAGCTGCTCTCCATCTAGGCTTGCTTTGCTAGGGCTGCTGTAGATGGCTTTGCCTTTCCATGGAAAGGAAAACATGTTTTCTATTCCAAATACTTGCTGCTGTGTGCAGGCACGTGATAATCACAGATATTAACAAGTTTAAAGATGGAAGCCACAACACCTGCAAACTTTCAGTCGTATTCTTGTGAAGAACCTGGTAGGGCTGTTTCTATATGGACCTCACCTGGTAGCAATAACAACCAGCACACTGTGGACTTGAATGGGGATGGTAGAAGTTCTCAGACCTATCAGAGAACCCTTAGTGGAAGTCCAAGTTGTTTTCCACATGAACTAGAATGGATGAGGTGAAGGAGAAACAAACTGGGTTGCCCAAGAGCATACCCGCTCTCCATACCATGTAAGTACCCCGCAATGCAGAGAAGCTACCTGTGTTCCCTTATCTCTGTTTCAGATCCAAAATCACATAAACCCTCCAGAAGTTGTTACTGATGCAGCTCTAGCTTCCCAAAGCCAGCCATCATGGAGGCTTGGTAGGAGGTGAAAAAACCCACACAGCAGTTGTTAAATTCACCATATGGAAAAGATCCTTTTCACTCTGTGAAGCTGGCAACAGGCCTAGTCCCTAACATCAGAGGAAATCCTAGCTAAGGAGGTTGAGGTTGGAATAAAGCACCCATCCCAGCTGCCTTGTGCAGAAACTGAGGCACTTGGCCTTAGCACATGTGGAATGTGGTGTGGCCGAGACGTTGCAGTTCCTGCTGTCTGCTGTAGTGGCTAGAACAGGCCTCAGAGCACTATAGCCTATGACTGCTTTCTCCTTTACTCTTCATTCTTCACCACAAAGAAGAGGCATTAAATAAAACAGTATGAACAGATACCCTCTACAATGGGAAGACACCTCTGTGCATTCCAGAGGAGCTTTTATTCTTCCCAATCCTGAAGTTGTCTTCATTGCCCTTGTCACTGGTAGAGCCCCACCTGAGCTGATGAGTTTTTCCAGTTTCAATTTTTCCAATTCCACAGAACTCTGATTTCCACAGTGGGTTTGCACAGGCAGTGCTCATCCATTTGAGTAGACATGCTACTTTCCAAGAGTA